ATACAAACAAAAAGAAGAAAAAAGAAGCTTGTATCGTTGTTTTCATTATGAATTTAAAAGGATCAATAGGAAAAAGTAAGTTTTTTAAATTTAAATTTCTAAAGATTATTCAAGAAAGGTTCAATAGGCACTTTTTCAAAAATTTCTTATGCCTTTTAACCAAGGTTTTGTTGTTGTTGTTGTTGTTGTATTCATAATTTTTATTAAAATAGACTAAAAACTGGAAGGAGATATGTAACACTTTAAACGATATAAATGCAGGGCAAATTTTGTGCTAAATAACTAATATATCAAGTATAGAGGTTTCTATTGAACAATTGTAGATATGATTAGTTATCTAGATTCAGGCTTCTTCAATAGCATTCTATTGTCTACACAAGGTCTGCACAAACAATATGGTAGTTCTTATATTCTATTCCAGATAGAGAATTAAATTAAATCTGCAAGCAAACCTGATTTATTTCATATCCTTGGATATATCTCAATTTCATAGCTGCAAGTTTGGAAGAGGGGGTGTAAGTATGAATAATATTTGTAATATCTCTAAATATTAGAAGAAAGGCCTATCTCTAAAATTTCAAAGGTATGCAAAATCAGTATTTCCTAGTGATATGAAAAAAATCTAATGTCACATTAATGTAATACCATAGCCACACCATGCTTTCCATCTATGATTTTTTTTTCTTTAAAGAAAGGAAGCTGACACTGCAGAACTGCCTTTTCAATTCTAGATCTGGCCTTTTATGTCACAGAAGTTATTATATTATGATGAATATAAAATGGTTGGACTGTGTTGTGTCATTATATGGGATCATATTTTCATATAAGCAGCTTATATGGTCTTTCTTTTCAGTTTAAAGTTCATTGAAATCCATAACAGGACACAGTGGCCCCTCCATTAGAAATAAAGAATATAGCAGGATCCAATCTGGGTCAGTCACTGGGACCAGAGGTTTTGTCTTCTGAGCTTTTGGACTTGTGCTGAAGCCCAGCTTCAAGGAACTTCTCTATAGCAGACACGCACATATTATTAGAGATAAGTTTTTTGAAGATGGGCTCCTGCACGAGCTTGGATGACAAAGCCTCTTGTTCCATTGACTGACCCAGATTGGATCCTGCAACATTATCCTGGGACATGTTGTATATTTGCCTTCATTGATAAAGAATCTAATTGGGATTGTATTTAAGCCTGATATATTTCACATCCCTGAGATATCATGCAGCTGAAGATTTTACAGGTGTAATACCAAACAATATTTGCAATATCTTTGCATATTAGAAGAAAACAAATTCCTATTTGAACTTCAAGTTTAAGCAAGATTGTAATTATCTGATTAGATAAAATGATAAAGTATTGCACTATATTATATTCTTCTCCTGCAGAAATGCTTACTTAATAAAGGATGTCAGTACTGAAGAACTATCTTGAATGTATAAATATAGCTTTCTTGTTCTGGGAGTCACTATATCATATTCAAAAGCAAGAGTTGTTATGATACTTCTTTCTCTGACAGTTAAAATTTCAACAATGCCAAACAGAACCATCTTCATGGATTTCTTGATTATGGGATTTTTTGAGCAATGAGAGTTCCAGCTTTTGCACTTTGTGCTCTTCCTCTTGATGTATCTGGCTATCCTTATAGGAAATCTTCTCCTCATTATTCTATTAGTAGTGAGCAACCATCTTCAGACACCAATGTATTTCTTTTTGGTCACTTTAGCAATTGTTGATCTGGGATCCACGACTGTCACTATTCCCAGATCAATAGTCAGTGCCCTGATGAAAGCAAGAAGGATTTCATATTCAGAATGTCTTGCACAAATGTTTTTCTTTCTTTTCTTCCTGTCATCAGACCTTTTCGTTCTCACGGCTATGGCCTATGGACAGATATGTGGCTATCTGCTATCCTTTACATTACATGTCTATGATGTTGAGGTGGTATTCAGCAGGTTCTGACCAGTTCTGAAGAACCAGTAGTGGAAATTTTGAGTAGTTTGGAGAACTGGCAAATACCACCTCTGACTGGAGATTTTACAGTATCCTTCCCCTGCCACGGCCACCAAGCCATGCCCACACAACCGGTAGTAAAATTTTTTGAATCCCACCATTGCTATGATGCAATGGAGAAACTGCTTCCAGATGGCTGGGGTTGCATCGGGGTGGGATTCTACCAGTTCCCTCTGGTTCTATAGAACCATATGTTATGATTCTGCTCAGTTCGGAGAACTGGAAAATCATTCCCTTGGCTGGTCCCGCGCCTTCCCCTCCTGGCCACTTGCCTCTGATGAAGCTGAAGATATGTTTCTGGAGCTGTCGGACTTTAAGCCTGGAACAAGAATGCCTTCCTCTCCTCCCCCATGCCATCCCATTTGGAAGATATTGAGTTTTGCTCTTGCTGACGATGTCCTCCAAGCTTCCTAAATGAGGTAGATCGAGTGGGAAGTGGCTGGTTTGTGTGTGTGTGAATTTAAGCCTCCTTCCTATAAAATCCATTCAGAAAACAAAGAAGCAGATATGGTTCAATTCTGTTTCAGCCCAGATTGCTGGGAGAGAAAGTAGTTTAAAAGTATTATTTAATTGACTAATTCATTGGCTTCCCGGCACTTCTTGTAGTACTGAGCTTGCCTTTTAAAATCCAGCGCTGAAACCCAAGAGTGCTGGATTTCAAAATAAAAGCCAAGGAGCTCAGTGCTACAAGGAGAAGTTCCCGGAAACGTTGGAGCTGAACCGGGTTTCAAAGAATTTTAAAGTAGCCTGGAGCAAGTATCCCTTGCGTGGGGACTTTAATATCTTTAAAGCTGTGCCCTTGTGATGAAGGGGAAGTTTATATTACATTTTATAGATTAATCCACCAGTAGAAAACAGGTAACATCCATTTGAGGTCAATCCATGCATTTAGTGAGGAGGAGGAGGAGGAGTAAGAGGCAATATTAAATCAGAACCTTGGTACAAGGAGCAATCCAGTAGAAGTGCCTTGATGGTTCTGTCCAAGCAGAGACAGGAGTGTGGTAAGTATGGAATCTTACTAAATCGATTCATACAGAGATACAATCCTCAGTATCTTTAAAGTTGGCAATTCTTTCATGTTACTGACTTGGGAATAATCAAATGATCAGGTCTCATGATGCCTGAGGAATTCTGGGAATTGAAGTTCACATGTCTTAAAGTTGCTAAGCTTGAAAAACATCAGAAGTACAACTTCTTGTAAGCCTGGGTTATTTTCCTGCGTTTTGGGAATAAGGAAATTATCCTATGTACTTGATGCAGAGATGCAGCTGAAATTTAGTTAGATGCTAATTGGAAGGTTAAAGCAGCAGATACAGATAGTCTTTGACTTACAACTATTTATTTAGCCTCCATTTAAAGTTACAACAACACTGAAAAAAAGTGAGTTATCTTCCCTCCCCCCTAGGGACGGTCATACAGAGAGCGATGGAGGGAGAGCAAGAGAGAGACAGGAGACAGAGAGAAAGGGTGGGGAGACAAGAAACACAGAGAGAGAGAGAGAGAGAGAGAGAGAGAAAGAGAGGGAGAGGGAAAGAGAGACAAGAGACACAGAAAAAGAGAGAGGGAAAGAGAGAAACAAGAGATACATACAGATAGAGAGAAAGAAAGAGGGAGGGAGGGAAAGAGAGAGAAGACACACACACAGAGAAGACAGAGAAAGACAGACAGTGAGGGAGGGAGAGAGAGAGAGAGAGAGAAGAGACAGATGAGAGAGAGAGAAAGAAAAAGGGAGAAAGAAAAAAGAGATGAGAAAGAGGGAGAAAGAAAGAGAGAGAGATATGTTTAAAAGAAAATAGAAAATGGCTCTTTGAGTGTTTAAGGTTGCAGACCCCAGGTTAGGCAAACACATTAAGTGAACCTTGTGGTCATTAAGCAAACACTGTGGTTGTTAAACAAGTCCATTTTCCCCAATGGGCTTTTTAACTGGAAACCAGAAGGAATTGTTGGAAACTGGCAAAAAACATAGAAAATCTCAGTCACAAGACTGTGTGGGATGTTGTAACTGATCAAAGTGTGTGTGTGTGTGTGTGTGTGTGTGTGTGTTTATGGCTGTCAAAACACCAAAAACATGGGAGGTCAGTCATAAATTAGAACATTTGCTAAGCAAGTGGCCATTAAGCGAGGACCACTTATATTTGGTTTGCTAGTCACATGGCCACCTAGCCACACCTACCCCAGTCACATGACCAACAAGCCACACCCAGCCAGTCACATGTCCACAAAACTATGCCCAGTCAGCAAGCCACACCCAGCCAGTCACATGACCACCAAGACACACCCACAAATTAGGCCATACCCACAGAACCCTTTGTTAAGAAATCTGAATCCCATCCCTGGGTTTCATGGATACTAACTAGCCTTTCTTAATGCTACCATGCATACAGGAACCCTTTTCTTCATTGCCTTTCTGTTCCACAGTCATCCATTAGTTCTTCTGTGAAATCAAATACCTCATGAAGATTTCCTGCTTCAATCCCAAATTCAGTGAAATCAGGATTCTTCTCTTTGGTACTTTGGTTGGGGTTGCTTGTTTTATGGTAATTATCATGTCCTACATTAAAATATTTAAGAAAATATTTGTTTTATGTTAATTATCATATCCTATGTAAAAATCTTTAAGACACTACTAAGCATGTCCTCAATGGCCAGCAGACAAAGGTCTTTTTTACCTGCATTCCCCATCTCTTTTTTGTTTGCTCATTCCTGCGTACAAGTATATTTTCCTATTTCATATCAAATTCTGGGTCTTTTTACAATTGGGATGAGATACTTGCAATGATCTGTGATCCCTCCAATGATGAACCCTGTAATCGATAGCATGAAGAATAAGGATATCAAAGCTGCTTATAGAAGTTGTTTAATCAAAGAATTAGAAATCAAATTACAAAATTTTGCTAAAAAACTACTTAGTATTTTTGCTTAATATTATTTCATATTCAATGCGGAGATTTGTTAAATTGATTTCTTCTTTTTGACAGCTAAAATTTCAACAATGCCAAACAGAACCATTATCATGGATTTCTTGCTTATGGGATTTTCTGAACAACGGGAGTTCCAGCTTTTGCATTTTGTGGTCTTCTTCATGATGTATCTGGTTATACTGATAGGAAATGTTCTCCTCATCGTTCTCGTAGTAATGAACAACCATCTTCAGACGCCAATGTACTTCTTTCTGGTCAATTTAGCAATTGTTGATCTGGGATCCACCACTGTCACTATTCCGAGATCAATAGTCAGTGCCCTCATGAATGCAAGAAGGATTTCAAATTCTGAATGTGCTGCACAAATGTTTTTCTTTCTTTTTTTCCTGTCATCAGACCTTTTCCTTCTTACGGCTATGGCTTATGACAGATATGTGGCTATCTGCCATCCTTTACATTATATGTCTATGATGCAGTGGAGAAACTGCATCCAGATGGCAGGGGGCGCATGGATGGTAGGCTTTCTTAATGCTGCCATGCATACAGGAAGTCTTTTTTCATTGCCTTTCTGTTCCAAAGTTATTCATCAGTTCTTCTGTGAAATCCCACACCTCATGAAAATTTCCTGCTTTGATTCCAAATTCAATGAAAAGTGGGTACTTCTTTTTAGTGCTTTTTTTGGTGTTGTTTGTTTTATGTTAATTATCATATCATATGTAAAAATCTTTAACACACTATTAAGCATGTCCTCAATGGCTGGTAGACAAAAGGCCTTATCTACTTGCATTCCCCATCTCCTTGTTGTCTGCTTATTATGTGGTACAGGTGTATTTTCCCATTTCATACCAAATTCTGGATCTTCTTATGAATGGGATGAAGTCCTTGCAGTAATCTACTCTGTGATCCCTCCAATGATGAACCCTGTAATCTATAGCATGAGGAATAAGGATATCAAAGCTGCTTTATGGAAACTATTTAATCAAAGGATTACAAATTAAAATACAAAACCTGCTTAATTTGAATTTTTAAGCAACTTTTGCTTATGAATTCAAAAATATCTCACATTGTATTAACCTAAGAATAATATCTCTATTATCATTTATGCCTTGTGAACTACAATTTACTTATTTGGATGCAATGGTCATTTCAGAGAATCACACACATACACTTGTGTAAAATGGTTGAAAAGCTGCAATTACTTGTTGTAACCTTTAGCAAAATATAAATTAGATCTTACATCCATGTTTTAGCATTAATATATTTATTATACTATATATTGGGATAAGAAACTTATCAATGGAAAATATTCTTAAGTCTTCTCTTGCCCAAATAATTTGTCATAAAATCTATATTTTGCTTTTATTTTCTTTCTTAAATATAGCCGCCTTGAAATCAGACTCAGAATGTTCTGAGAAATGTTTTTTACTGGTGTCAGTTTTTGTGTAGAGGTGCTCTGTTTTATCACATGTAGAAGTTATTGAGACCAGGCTAATAGATGATAAACAAATCTTTGCTCCTGTGAAGTTCTGAGTGAGACAATGGGATTTTTTTTTTACTCTGCATTTATCACATTGGTGCATTCTGATTTTGCTGATTAATAACTCCTTCATCCAACATATCTGTCTACAAGCAAGTGAAGGTCACTAACTGAAAACAGGGAGCATGTCAAGATTAGATGTAAGAATAAACTTTGTCAATGTGTTGCAGGTAGCATAACAATCTATTTTTTTTTGTTTATTGTTGTTCTCTGCTAGCAATTATTCTATTTCTCAAGCTCTAAAAAAAGACACACATTAGAAGAAGGCATTACTTGTTGATACTGAAGTAACATGTGCCACTGTAGATTCAATCTGCACATAAATAGTAAACAATTAGAAATCTTTGAAGCTGATTTATCTATCTATCTATCTATCTATCTATCTATCTATCTATCTATCTATCTATCTATCTATCTATCTATCGTATGGCAAATTCATGGACTTATAGTGGTTCAAATGTTACTGTTCAGATTACCCAGCCGTTCAAGGACAGGGTGCTTTATGTTGAAAAAAATCCAAGCTTTTGATTTTCAAATCCAAAATTTGAAGCTGGTATTTACCAAAGATGGCAACGTATGTTGGAATGAGAAAACCCTTAACCATCATAACCTGCACATTCTTCTCTGAGAACATTCTGTCTCTAATCTTGGATGGTGTGGCATGTCTCCATTCAAGACTGGTGCACAACCTGATAGTTACTTTAAACTCATAGGTCCTGCTCAAGAATAGATGGCCGCAGTGGCCAAGAAGCCTTTGAATAAATTTATTTAATGTACTACTTTTATCTGTTCTTGGAACAGGAGATTCCGCCAGATGGCCACTCATGCCCTAGTCACCTCATGAATGGATAATTGCACTATGCAATATATGAAGCTACCTTTGACGACAACTCTTAAGCTATGGCTAAGCTATAAATATGTCAGTGCAGTTAGTGATGGGCATGTCACATTCCGTCTATGCGATTTCACTGTATTCAAGCTGCAATGGCTACTAGTTCTATTCAACATGCAATTCAAGATTCTGGTTATCACCAATGAAGACCTTCATGCATAGGGCCTGTCTACTTGTAGGGTTGCCTTTCCTAATTGTTTCTGATTGTCAGGTAACATCAGACAAAATGAGCATACCTCAAGTCATTTATTGGAACCAAATAACTGAGGCTTCTCTGTACAGCTCCTGCATTTGGAATAGTTCCCCATCCCACCTCCCATACTTCTATATACTTTTAGTTGATGATATTCAGAAAATTATTGAAATTGTGACTATTCTCTTAGGTTGTCAGCAAGACTAGCAATTGAGCCCTTATTGAATGTTTTTTGTTTTGGAGAGTTTGTCTTCTGGATGATTATGATTCATTTTTTTAAATTACTTTTTTTAATGTAAGCCACTCAGAGCCATTTGGGATCTTGTCTCCAAATGAATGATTTTCTCTTATGTTTCTCTGAAAGAACACAACTGGGGTATTTTCTTATATTCATGGCTATTGTCAGAGGAAAAGATGGAGGCCATGGGCAATGAATTATTCCAGTTTTAGCCACTTGTAATCTTATTTAGAATAGGAGGATCTGATGATTCATGTTCTCATCAGGATAGATTACTGAAATGTGCTATAGATGGGCATAGCATTGAACAATACTTGAAAACTACTTGCAGAAGAAAGCAGCAGCTCAAATGCTGCATTTACCCTGTACATTTATTCATTTATTTGGTCAATTTATATTCAGTAGTTGTCTTCTTAACATACAGTTTATGGTAATATACAGTTCATAAAATATGAAAATATAGTAAATAAATAACAGTTATACTAGAAGTCATTCAATAATAAACCCATACTATTCTGGACAAATTTGGAAGACCACCATACAGGGTTCTGAATGTCTAGGGGTAGAACCAGTGGTGGGATTCAGCCAGTTCACACCAGTTCGGGAGAACAAGTTGTTAATTTTCTGAGCAGTTTGATGAACTAGTTTTTGGAAGAAATCATTAGGGCAGAGAACCAGCTGTTAAATTATTTGAATCCCACCACTGGGTAGGACCAAGTCTTCAAGGGTTTACAAAATATAGATTTAACTTTGAAAATTACTCAGAAAGTACATTTGTAAAGAAGGCAGATGTGAATGATTATAGCCGTATGATATCTATAGTGTGGTGAGTGATAGATTTTGGATAAGTTTCTAGATACAAATCAAAAAAGTGGTTTTAAATGTTAAGGTCCTATATGCTGGCTTCTAGGTATGTAAAGAACAATATTTTCACATAGGTATCCAATCATTTGTTTAGTACACTTGCCCTAATTGGTAGTATTGAGAATCCCTCTATGTGAAAAGTGGAGGATTAGAGGTAATGTTTCTTGGCAGTAGCTAGCCTCTTGCAGAATAACTTCCATATGGAAGTCTGATTGGCATCAACTTGGGGCCTTTAGGTACACTGATTATATTTATCTGATTTTATTGTTTCTTATTTGGCTTATAAGTTATCTTATGTTTTATTATTTCCCACTCCTTTCAGTTTCAGTTTGGAGACTTTTCCATGCACACTGAATCACAAGTTTAGGTAGCTTTTCAGGGACCCAAATAAATAGGCCAAGTCTAAGCTTGAATGCAAGTTTTCCAGGATATTGTGGTTCTATTGGACATAGGTTTAAGTATATTTTATTTATTTATTTGAGAAAAACTTACATTATAACAGAAACAAGTATAAACATAAGTTTAAATACAAGATGTAGGAATTAATAATTGGGGACAATAGGACAGGGATGGTAGGCATGATTGTGCGCTTATGCCCGCCCCTTAGCGACCTTGTAGGAATGGGGTAAGGTCAATAGAGGTTAGTTTGAGGGTAAAGGAGTGGGTGTTTGAGCAGGTGACAACAGAAGCAGGTAGTGAGTTCCAGACATTGACCACTCTGTTGCTGAAATCGTACTTCCTGCAATCAAGTTTGGAGTGGTTTACATTAAGTTTATATCTGTTGTGTGCTCTTGTGTTGTTGTTGTTAAAGCTGAAATATTCATTAACTGGTAAGATGTTGTAACATATGATTTTATGTACTATGCTTAAGTCCAATGTTAGTCAGCGTAGTTCAAGGTTGTCTAAGCTTAGAATCTCAAGTCCAGTGCTGTAGGATATTCTGTTGTGAACAGAGGAATGTAGTACTGTTCTGATAAAATACTTCTGGACTCGCTCAATTGTATTTATGTCTAATATACAGTGTAGATTCCAGACAGTAGAGCTGAATTCAAGTATTGGTCTAGCAAAGGTTTTGAATGCCCTAGTTTACAAAACAGTATTACCAGAGGAGAAGCTTTGTAAAATTAAATTTACAACTCTTAAAGCCTTTTTGGCAATACTGTTGCACTGAGCTTTGGCACTTAGATTATTCAATATGAGAACTCCAAGGTCCTTGACAAAGTTAGGGTCATCAACAAGGTCATATCCGCCTAGCTTTTATTTGGTATATAGATTTTTTTTTTAACCAATGTGTAGGACAGAGCATTTGTTGGTAGAGATTTGGAGTTGCCAATTGTTAGACCATTCAGACACATAATCAAGGTCTTTTTGAAGGATGGTAGCATGGACGGTTGTGTTGAATAGTTTTACATCATCAGTGAAGAGGACACAGTTGCTAATAAGGTGATCACAAAGGTCATTTATATAGAGTGTAAAGAGTATAAAGATCCTAGAATTCTCCCTTGTGGGACACCGCTGGTAACTGGTACAGGGTTTGATAGGGCATTTCCTATTTTTACTATTTGTTGCCTGTCTGACAAGAAGGCAGTAATCTACTTGTGAAGGGGTCCGGAAATGCCATAAAAAATTATTTTAATAGTAGTTTGTCATGTACCACTGACTCAAATGCTTTGGAGAAGTCAATGTAAATCCCATATAAATCAATCTGAATCCATCTGTTTTCCTGGATTGATACATTTCACCCCATGGGAATGAAACGTACCTCTCTGGGAATGTAAAAACCTCCATTCCACACTTTTGAAGTATGCTGTTAATAGCCTCCTTGTGGTCAATTGTGATCAATTAGATGGACAATAGGAGAAGAGATAGGGAGAGATTTGTCTTTTACAGGAAAGATGTAAATCTAAGTTAGAGAGTTTTACATTGCAGTTGCTCCACTTCTAAGAAACTTAAAAGTACATGGCATTTTTCTGTATTTTGTAGAATTTTCCTCCCATGTCTCTTGTGATGTGCTAGGAACTTCTTCCCAGATCTTTAACTTTGATCAAAGAATAAAAGTCTGTTTTGTTTAATTTGCAAGCCTCCATTTAAGTCTTTGTTTTGGTTCATTTTTGGCTTAAGCGTGCTGCCAGACCTTACAGTGCCTCTAACAGAGAAGAAAATTGGCAGAGGAGTTTATTAGGACAAGGCTGCCATGCAGAGGAACACAAAGATAGTCCTTCACTTATGATCACAATTGAGCTCAAAATTTTGGTTGCTAAGCAAGAGCGTTCT